TTAATTTTCAAATTCGTTTCAAATGGTGGAGGGTATTGAAAGTTCGGCGCAGCCAAACTTACTGTATTTTAATTTTTTTTCTGAGATCAAGCATGCAAAATCCGAAATTCTCCCTTTTTTTGTTTTTCTGAGCACTCAAATCAGATGATTGCTTGCAGATTTTTTCAGTATCTTTACATTCTACAATTTTCTTGCCAAATAGAATCAAACTGCCTAACACTCACAGAAATCAGTTGCTGGACAATTCCTGCAGGTAAAGTAATCAGACCGACCTTAGTTCGCTCAGTTCGCTAATATGTCATTTCCGATTGATTTATCACGTTTTTTTTTTCTTGCGGAGTGTTAAAGTGAAAGGGGTCATTAAGTGCTAGCGTTATCAAACTATAAATACATGGAAACACGCAACCTTACCAACGCCAGAATGATAAGCAAACTTTTGTCACACCCTAAAGTAAACTAAAACAAATGAAAATGTTTAATCCGAAATACCTTGAACGGGTAAATCGATTGAAAATTGTTGTTGAATTTGATGGTGTAAAACTTAGAGAGGTAAAATCGTGGTACCAGGGTATACTATTTTTGAAAATTGTTTATGATGTCATAAAGGGAAAATTGGTTATCGTAGTAAAAATGTTTACAATCTTGCAGTTCTGGAACGGGCCATATAATATTTGAAATGGCCCACTACTTTTGAATAATGTTAAATTTTGCAAAAAGGAAAATAATTAGCCGAAGTGTATTTTAATGTTGCACAAGTAAATAATTTCACCAACATTAGCGATGGAATATCTCAACATTGTCGATCCACTTCTTTTAGAACCTCCGCACAAAAAATCAATATTTTGTTTAATAATACATTAAGTTCGAAATATGTGTCCGATTTTCTTAAAATTTACCATTTCCGATATTTTTATCAGTATTATATGAAGTGTGAATATGGAATAAATCGGTCTACTTTTCTGGTACCTCTATCACAAAGTTTCAACATTTTCCAAAAACAAATTAAAAAGAACCGGTAGGTTTTACCGACAGATATATACCCTCAGCCAATGTTCGATTATTTAAATATATTTTGGCTTCTGTTATTATTATTCAAAGTATTGACCCTCTATGGAGTAGGTTCCGAAGTAATGGGCCTATATTGTCCAATTCGTATCGGACCTAAATAAATATGATATAAATATTGTAACGTGTCAAGTTTGGACTATATTGGAAAATGTTGAAATGTTCGTGAGGTACCAGATATAGTCGACCGAAGTATTCCATTTTCATACTTTATCTTATTCAAATAAAAATATTGGTATCTACAAAATTACAAGAAAATTGAACATTTATATCTAATTTAAATTTAATTTAAATTTAAAATCATAAATTCCGACAAATTTCATATTCACCTTAACCTATTCTCAAACTTTAAATGGGTAAGAACCACACCCTTCTTGGTATGAAGGTGTAGTTGTAATATATTGTGCCAGTGGGCCACTTTTGGTAAGCAGAACTGGCGCTGCTGGATGAACCAAACGTAATGTTACGATGCCCAAATTGACATACAGCAAATTTTAAAGAAGTCCCAATTTATGACAGATAAAAGTACTGAAAATTGTGACCCTTTTTGGTTGAGGTACCAGAAAGGGTTGGCAGATATATATCATTTCCGCAACAGATCTTGGTTTACCAAAAATGTTTGTATGTGTGAAATTTGAAGAGTGTTGGATGCTTATTTTAATTTCTTTTGCCGTTTTTTTTTTTTCAAAATCCTGAATCCTGTATGGGAGAGGTACAAGATGAAATGGTCCGATCTGTACCATTTCTATAACAGATCTTGTGTTGATGGAAATATTGAGGTGTACCAAGTCTGAATGGAACCGGATGTTAATTTCGCGTTTTATGAGAGTCATGGATATTCAAAATTTACACTCTTTTGTGGTGGAGGTACCGAAGGAGTGGACCGATATAGCCCATCTTTACAGCAGATCTTGTGTTAGTAGAAATAATAAGATGTTTGAAATATGAAGAGAACCGGATGCTTATTGTATGATCGTTTTGGTTATTCAAAACTTTGACCCTTTGTGGTCCGATCTCTACCATTTTTATAACAGATCTTGTATTGATTTAAATATTGATATTTGCCAAGTCTGAATGGATTTATGTAAATTTTGCGTTTTATGAATTTCGCACATATTCGAACCGATATATCCCATCTTCACACCAGAACGTGGGTTAATAAAAATATTCTGATGTGTATAATTTGACTCTTGATAATCGGACTCTCACATCTTATTTTAGAAAAGCTATAATTATTCAAAATGTTTACCCTCTGTGGGGGAGGTACTTGATATTGCCCATTTTCACACCTGACCTAGGAATGATGCAATTATTAGGATTTGCAAAGTTGGAGTAAAATCGGATTATGTGCAGAAAAATATTTTTTTTTTTAAATTTCGACCTTTTGTGGGGGAGGTACCAGGGGGTACAAAAATACGGTAAACCACCTTCAAAGAATTAAAATCGGGGTTAGGATTCCATGCGTGCTATATCAAGTTGTGGATCCATATTAACATTTTTTCTGTGAGGAAATCAGGTATCAAACTCCATTTCAATGAAAAATGTACCTAAAATCCTTAAATTTCATTAAGTCGGAGAGTATTGTGTATGGGGACTTCGCCTAATCGTGGACCCATTTTCACATTTTTATGATTACATCATTACACCCTCCACCATAGTATGGAGGGTATATTAAGTTTGTCATTCCGTTTGTAACACCGATAAATATACATTTTAGACCCAAAAAGTATATATATTCTTGATCAGCATAAAATTCTATGTCGCTTTAGCAATGTCCGTCCGTCTATCCGTCTGTTCTTCTGTGGAAATCACTCTAGCTTCCGAACGAAATGAAGTAGTTTGATAAAATTTTACTCAAATGTGTATTATTGTTTTAAATTTGGTATTTGAAGTAATAAATGGATGCTACAGCCTAAGACAGAGAATTGTGTGTGCAGCTCCACGTCTTCGTATAGCCGCCATATAACGGTACCTCCCGATAGTCGGTATTTTGATGATTTTAGCGACATTATTTACCGGAATTGTTTCAAATTTGGTATTTGAAGTTCGTAATGGATACTACAGCCTAAGACAGAAAACTTTCTGTGCAGGTCCACGTCTTCGTATAGCCCCCATATAACGGTACCTCCCAAGATTTGGTAATTTGATGATTTTAACGTCATTATTCACTGTAGTAGTTTCAAATTACGCATTTAGAGGTTGTAATGGGAACTACAGTCTGTGACAGCAAATTGTCTATGAAGGTCCAGGTCTTTGTATAGCCCCCATATACCAGTACCTCCCTATATTGGGTATTTTAACGATTTTAGATACAATACTCACCGAAATTGTTTGAGATGTCGTATTAGAAGTTAGTAATAGAAGCTACATCATGTGACAGAAAATTATTTATGCAGGTCCAGGTCTTCGTAAAGCTCCGATATAACGGTACCTCCCTATATACGATATTTTGATGATTTTAGGTACATTATTCACTGTTTATTTCAACTTTCGAATTTGAATATGGTAATGGCTTATGACAAACAATGCCTATGTAGGTTCACGTCGTACAGACCCTAATATAACAGCTATATTCGGTATTTTTAAGATGTTAACAGAATTTTTGGCAAATGTTATCTTTTTTGAAAATTTCCAAATTCATTCCAAATGGTGGAGGGTATTCAAAGTTCGGCCCGGCCGAGCTTACTCCTTTTTTACTTGTTATGATTACATTATTTTTATACCCTACACCACATAGTGGTAAGGGTATTATGTCTTTGTGCATTTGTTTGTAACATGGAGAAGGAAGCGAGATAGACCCATAGTTACATTTGAGGATATCCATAGAATCACTTTCTGAGTTGATTTATGCATGTCAATCCGTCCGTTTGTCCATGTATTCTTGTGAACAAAATGCATCTATTATCCGATTGAGATGAAATTTTGCACATATCATTTGTTTGACCCAAGAACGAACCCTATTGAAATTGGAAATAATCGGTCAAATTTTAGATATAGCTCCCATATATATGTTCGTCCGATTTGCCTTTTATTGCACATACAACCAAATTAGGCCTTAAAATAAGTATGCCAAATTTGATCGAAATCGGTTCAGATATAGCTATAGCTCCCATATATATTGTTCATCCGATTTGTTATTTTTGTCCACCGCCGCCGTAATATGCACTCTGCAACAACAATATTTGGGGAAATATATCAAATACAGCTCAGAAATACATTTGCTAAATTTTATCGAGATCGGTTCAGATTTGGATATAGCTTCCATATATAACTTCGTCCGATTTACTTTTTATTGTGCACCAAACGTCTAATATATGTCCAAATGGGATGGAATTTGGCACTTACGAACGAATTGAGTCTAGAAGCTAGTATGTCAAATTTGGTGAAGATCGGTTCAGATATAGCTATAGCTTTCATATATATTATTCATCCGATTTGTTATATTTGTTACCCACAACCGTAATATGCACTCCGTAACAACGATATTCAGGGAAATATATCAAATACAGCTCAGGAATATCTTTGCCAAATTTTATCGAGATCGGTTCAGATTGGGATAAATCTCCCATATATATCTTCTTCCGATTTCAAATTAATTGTTCACCAAATGGGCAATACAAGTCCGAATTTAAAAGACACAAATGCTTCGGTATATTTACTCCTTTGAACTTTAATTTATAATTATAATCATAGCGTGTATGATTGAATTCTCCCATAAAAACTTTTAATTGTTATGTGGAGCTCTACTAAATTATCAAAGTGGTGTAGGGTATCAAAAAGTCGGCCCCGCCCGACTTTAGGACATTCTTTACTGGTTTACTAATTATGAAGCTTCTTCGTTCATTCACATATTACCAAATGTAGGGTATTCATAGCCAGGTTTATTTTCATTTAATATAGGAAAGTGCATGCAAACACTAAAACTAAACAGTTACTGCAAAACCCTGTTCAAAGCCGCAGTAACGGAAGAACATCTATTACCAGAATATCAGAATACGATCCATAAAAATGTTATACTATCTCTTAATAGCTCTCTTAGTGTTAGGCACTCTCATTTATTACTTTCTCATTTGGAACTACGATCATTGGCAAAAGAGAAATGTATGCGGTCCGAAACCCTACCCTCTGCTCGGCTCATATCCAAATCTGTTGTTACGTCGTCAGCATTTTGGTGATGATTTGCAAGATATTTACAAGTTGAGTGGCAGCTATGTGTGTGATAGGTGTTGATAAACAAACAAATGAATCTGGATATCTGTATTAATGTCCAATTGAATTTGTTACAATTGAGTGCTTAATTTTATTCGCCTAATAATATCATCACTGGATACCTTTTTTGTTTGGTGTTTTAGATTTTACAAAACGTCTCAAAACTACGTGGGAACCTATTTGATGCGCACGCCAACTCTGCTGATTACCGATCCACAAATTGTGCATGAAATTTTCGTTACGGCATTCAAGCATTTCGACGATAATGATGTAGGCAAATTGGTGAGTAACAAATAATTGGATAAGCGTTTTGCGTTTAGCATGGCTGTTACTTTATTTCAATTGTTTTATTATTTATTTTATAGTTGTGAATATATTGAAATATTTGCGTGATCAGGATATAATTTTATAAATATTTTTTTTTATATTTATTGTTAAATTTTTATTGAATATAAGTGTTTTGCTTGATTAGAAGGAATATTTTAACCCCTCGTTAATGCAGTATACTGAAATAAGAAGGTGAAGAATGTTCTTGCCAATGCCAACCAGAAATCCCAAGCTACAATTTATTTGAAAGAAAACGATAGTACAAATTAGCTTTACAAAGTTTAAAAATACATTAAACGGTGTGATAATTTAATGGGTGCTACATCGAAGTACGTACAAATATTGAGTTGTTCGAGGAGGCTTAAATACCTATTTATAACTTAACACTAAGCATTTTCAAAAACTTTGGAAAATACCAATAAAAAAATTCGGAAAATTCGATATAATGTTATTTAAGTTCAGAAATTTCATTTAAAATTCAGATAATCAATTTAAATTTAAAAAAACTTCAATTGAAATAATTCCAAATATTTTTTTTAAATAAAACAAATGTCTATAGCAATCTGTAAGATATATATTTGAAAACAGTGGTAAATATTTTGTCCAGTTGGAGGTAAATACAATGAGGTTGGCATTTTAGATTTGATGACTATTAATGTCGGCACATTTCCAAAACAGTTTCTTTTAAATTTCAAATTATATATTCTGAATATCAAATGTAATTTCTGAGTAACAAATGAAGAATTCCGTCATCCAAATGAAACATTCTTCATTATAACATTTTTTTTCACCGGTCACCTCGGCCAGAGGTTTCCTTTTCCAATAAAATACCAGTAAGGAAAAGTTAAAAGTCGGGCGGGGCTGACTACATGATACAGTACAAAACTATGCATAATTAGTAGAGCTCACGTAACAAAATAATTGATGGGGGGAATTTATTTGAAGTAGATGGTACCACGTATCAACCTTTTGCTTTAGAGGAGTTATAATTTAGTTTCATAAGGAACTAATATACAGGGTGAGATAAAAAAAACTGCAACCAACATCAGACTGCTGTCATTTCTAGGCTACTCGTCTGACAGGTGTTAAAATTATTTCAGTGACAGATCATTACATTGTTTACAAGCGTATAAAAGCATTTTGGCGAGAATTTTCCAGAAAAAAGTTATTCGTGATGGAATTTAAGCGTGATAGTGTGATTTATTTATATTTGGCTAGAAAACCGCAAGTGGCTATCGTTATCCAGCATTTAAATGTTAATAAATCTTTTCTGTCTTGTACCATCGCTCGTTACCGTGATGCTGGTAGCGTATCCCGACGTCAAGGAAGTGGACGGAAGAAAACAGCAACATCAGCAGAAATGCTTCGAAAAGTAAAGAAGCTACTTGATCGAAACCCGTGTCGCAGTGGCCGAAAAATGGCTCGTGAGCTGAACATATCGCAATATTCCATTCGGCAAATATTGAAAAATTAGCTCGGGCCGTTGAAAGTGAAAGAACTTACACCGCAACATAAAGAAACAAGACTCAGAAGAGCTAAAGAGTTGCTTCGCTTGCCCGAAAGTGGTGAACTGCCGAATTTGGTTTTCTCCGATGTGAAAATATTCGTTGCCCAGAGGTTTGTAAACAAACAATATGATCGTGTTTACTTGCCAAATAGGTCAGCTGAAAACGTGCACCTTCGGTTGGCCACCAGAACTCAAGCGCCGGCCATGGTGATGGTGTGGGCCGGCATAACAGGCGTTGGTCGCTCTCCACTCGTATTAATCGACCGTGGCATCAGAATAGCGCACAATGGCCACCAAAATCTTCGAATACCAATCCGTTGGACTATTGTGTCTGGAGTATTTTGGAAAGCAGGGTTGGCACTAAAATATGCCAAAATGGCGATCACCTCAAACAAGCGCTTCGCCGGCAATGGGCCAAAATACCGCAGAGCAACATTCGGGCAGCGTGTGACGGTTTCATTGGCCGTTTGAAGGATATAATTCGAGCCAAAGGTGACCAATTCGGACAAATGTAGACTTATTCTAAAATTTAATGCTATTTCCGACATTTTTATACCCTCCACCTTGGAAAGGAGGGTATATTAACTTTGTCATTCCGTTTGTAACATCCTTAAATATTCGTCGTAGACCCCATAAAGTTTATATATTCATAATCAGCATAAAATTCTAAGTCGATTTAACGGTGTCCGTCCGTCTGTCTGTCTGTTGAAATCACGATACAGCCCACATTATTTGACGTAGAGCGCCAAAACTTAGCACAGCAATTTGTATTGGATCTAGGATGGTTGGTATTGAAAATGAGATATATCGGTTCAACGGTACCTCCCGATATTCGGTATTTTGTTGATTTTTGCCACATTTTTTTCACAGATTTGTCTGAAAATTGGCATTTGTAGGTAATAATGGGTGCTAGTTCCTTTTGGCGAAACATTGCATGTATAGGTCCACGATTTGGTATAGCCCCCATATATATTGGTACCTCCCGATATTCGGCATTTTAATGGTTTTTGCCACATTTATTCACGGATTTGTCTAGAAATTGGTATTTGTTGGTCTTAATGGGTTCTAGCTCTTTTGGCGAAACACTGTATATATAGTTCCGGGTTTTTGTATAGCCTCATATAGCCGTATTTCCCGATATTCGAAATTTTGATGATTTTTGGCACATTTTCCCATGAATATGTCTAAAAATTGGTATATGTGGGTTATAATGGGCTCTAATGTTTAATTTAACGTAAGGTGGAGGGTATTAAAAGTTTGGCCCGGCCGAACTTAATGTTCGTTTACTTGTTTGCTTTAATTTCAAAAAAAAAAAAAAATAAAATAAAATAAATTTAAAAATTATGGCGTTTGACTTTGTTATAGTTTAGTTTATTATCTCATCCTATATTTCAATAAAGAGTCGCATTGCATATTATTGATATTTCTGATAAAGAAGATGTTCTGTCATTTCTTAAATTCCTAACTTAATTTATTTCTTTTCAGATAGACACATCAAAGGACCCACTGATAGCCAAGAACCCCTTCATATTGAGCGGCAAAGAATGGATTTTGCAGCGTTCCTTTGTAACACCAGCGTTAACCAGCTCTCGTATAAAGCAGTCCTATCAAGATATTCCGGAGATATGTCGAGAAATGGCTAAATTTATTATTGAATATGGTTGCCTGGGGATCAATGGAAAAGACGTATGTATCATCTCAAATAATATTCAGGACTGTTGTCATCAAAATATATATGTTCATATATCATAGCTAGCTTTGCGCTTTACATCGGAAAGCCTAAGTAGCTGTGTTTTGGGTATAAAAGCAAACAGTTTCACCCCTAGCCGCCTACCAATTTCGGAAAATGTTAATAAGTTTGCCTCCGAAAATGTTGCTTTTACAATTTTTACTCTACTTGCCGGTTTGGCACCGGAGATTTTAAAATATTACCGAATGAAATTCTTTCCCAAAGATTGTGAGAATTTTTTCATAGATCTCATGGAGCGTGCTTATAAATATCGCGCCTCCGAACATTTTGCCAGAAATGATATTCTGGATCATTTGATAAAGGCAAAAGAAATAGAAAATCTCAGCAATCTGGATGTATATTCGCATACAATGACATTTTTAATAGATGGTCTGGATACAACGGCAACTGTAATAAGTCATTGTTTGCTTATGGTAAGTTGTGGAAGGAGTTGGAATTTTGAAAAAAATATAATTTTTGTTTTTTTTTTTTTCTACAATTGCAGTTAGCTTTGGAACCCCTGTGCCAGGACAAATTATTTCAAGAAGTTTGTCGATCTGCCGACAATAAGGGTGATTTACCTTTTACAACATTAAATGAAATGCCATATTTGGACGCATGCATTCATGGTAAGTAAAATCAGTAAAAATACGTTCGGTACGACTTGACCGCTTGACTTTTTACTATCCTTCCCAAAAAGGTATATAGCAAAAGTGGTTGATTTCAAAATTCCAAAAATTTGGAAATACCGTTATGTAAGGGTACCTTTAACAAGTAAAAAAACATTAAGTTCGGCCGGGCCAAACTTTTAATACCCTCCACCTTATGGTAAAGGAAACATTAGAAGAAACGTGGCAAAAACCATTAAAATGCTGAATATCGGGAGGTAGCATTATATGGGGGCTATACCAAATCGTGGACCTACACATGCAATGTTTCGCCAACGGAGCTAGAACCCATTATGACCTACATATACCAATTTTCAGAGAAATTCGTGAAAAAATGTGTCAAAAATCATCAAAATACCGAATATTGGGAGGTACCGTTATATGGGGACTATACCAAAACGTGGACCTATACATACAATGTTTCGCCACACGTACAGGGACCCGTTATGACCTACAAATACCAATTTTCAGACAAATCCGTGAAAAAATGTGGCAATAACCATCAAAATACCGAATATCGGGAGGTACCGTTACATGGGGACTATACAAAAACGTGGACCTATACATACAATGTTTCGCCACACGTACAGGGACCCATTATGACCTACAAATACCAATTTTTAGACAAATCAGTGAAAAAATGTGACAAAAACAATAAAAATACCTAATATCGGGGGGTATCGTTATATGGGGGCTATAACAAATCGTGGACCCATACATGCAATGTTTCGCTACCGGAGCTGGAACCCATTATGACCAACAAATACCAATTTTTAGACAAATCCGTGAAAAAATGTGGCAAAAATAATCAAAATACCGAATATCGGAAGGTACCGTTACATGGGGACTATACCAAAACGTGGACCGATATATCTCATTTTTAATACCAACCATCCTAGACACAATACAAATTGCTCTGCTAAATTTTGGCGCTCTACGTCAAATAATGTGGGCTGTATCGTGATTTCAACAGACAGACGGACATCGTTAAATCGACTTAGAATTTTATGCGGATTATGAATATATATATTTTATGGGGTCTACGACGAATATTTAAGGATGTTACAAACGGAAGGACAAAGTCAATATACCCAAGGTGGAGGGTATACAAATAGATATATCTTTTCGGGATAGTTCTCCACTCACTTTGGACCTAGAACACAAAATTGCAATCCATTTTTATACCCTCCACCATACTATGGAGGGTATATTAATTTTGTCATTCCGTTTGTAACTCCTCGAAATACTCATTTCAGACCCAACAAAGTATATATATTCTTGATCAGCGTAAAATTCTAAGACGATTTAGCCATGTCCGTGTGCCTGTCTGTGTGTCTGTCTGTCCGTCTGTCTGTTGTAATCACGCTATCTTTCGAACAAATTGAGATAGAAGGCTAAAATTTTGCACACATGTATATTTTGCCAGTAGGCAGGTTAAGTTCGTAAATGGGCCATGTAGGTCCAAGTTATCATATAGCCCTCATGTAACGGTACCTACCGATATTCGATATTTTGATGATTTTAGCGACATTATTCACCGGAATTATTTCACATTTTGTATTTGAAGTTCGTAATGGATACTACAGCCTATCCCAGAAAATTGTCTGTGCAGGTCCACGTCTTCGTATAGCCTCCATATACCGTACCCCCCGATATTCGGTATTTTGATGATTTTAGCGACATTATTTACCGGGATTGTTTCAAATTTCGCATGTACAGTTCGTAATGGATATCTCAGCCCATGTTAGAAAATTGTCTGGGTCAACGTCTTCGTATAGCCCCCATATAGCAGTGCCCCCTATATTCGGTATTTTGATAGTTTTAGCTACATTATAAACAGATTTTTCTTCAAGTTTCGCATTTAAATATTGTAATAACTTATGACAAAAGTTGCCTATGCAGGTCCAAGTCGTCGTATAGGCATTCGGTATTTTTAAGATTTTAACAGATTTTTTTAACGGATTTTATTTATTATTATTTTTTTTTTTTTGGAAATTGCCAAACCCGGCCGAACTTACAACTTTTTTACTTGTTAAATTTATCGATACCCTGAAAGAATTTGCAAGTGAGTTACTCACATCCTCTCTAAGATACAACTTCTGCGTCACTTCTAATCCTAATAAATGTGATGGCACCAAGCAGTGCATATTACGCATGTGGAGGACTCTAACACCAAATCGGATGAGACATATATATGAACGGAATTTCATCAAAATTTGAAATAACTACTCTGGGCTAAATTCCGTCGGAAGTGCCGAAATTCAGACCATTTGGGCTGATATTAGCCAATTGGTGTGCAATAAACCAGATATCGGATAAAGATATATATGGGAGCTATATCGAAATCTGATCCGAACTCGATAAAATTTAACAGAGGTATTTTCTGTATCTGATATCTGTAGTTACCGACAAAAATCGGTAACTTTAAAGCCAAAAATTTTTATATAAGAAATAAGTTTAGGTTGACAATATTGGTATAGGTATTTCTACCAAATGTTATTGTTGTGGAGTGTACATTACGCATTTTAGGGACTTTAACTCGATTCGATGTACTTGCTTCTAGACTTAATTCGGTCGGAAGTGCCCACAATTTATTCATTTGGACTGATATTGGTCATTTGGTGCACAATTAATACGAAATTGGCTGAAGACATACAGGGTGAGATAAAAAAAACTGCAACAAAGTCAAACGACATAATTTTTACATTTTTTTAAATCCAAAAAAAATCGGAAATAGCATCAAATTTTAGAATAAGTTTAGATTTGTTCGAATTGGTCGCCTTTGGCACGAATTATGGCCTTCAAACGGCCAATGAAACGGTCAGACACTGCCCAAATGTTGCTCGGCGGTATTTTGACCCATTCCCGGCGTAGCGCTTGCTTGAGGTTATCGACACTTTGGTGTTTTTTAGTGCCAACCTTGCTTTCCAAAATACTCCAGACACAATAGTCCAACGGATTGGTATCAGGAGATTTTGCTGGCCATTGTGCACTGGAAATGAAGCGAGGAACCTCATCTCGTAACTATTCTTAGGTGGCGCGTGCTGAGTGCGATGTAATCTCCTGATGGAATCTCCAAGATGTGTGGCCAAAATGTTTGCATGCCCAAGGCTTTTATACACCTTCCAGAATATTTTCGCGACAATATTCGGTATTTATTCTGATGTCACGATCGGAGAACGACAATCGGCTGTTATGGCGGCCCACACCATCACAATGGCCGGCGCTTGAGTTCTGGTGGCCAACCAAACATGCACATTTTCAGCTGACCTCTTTGGCAAGTAAACACGATCATTTTGTTTGTTTACAAACCGCTGGACAACGAAGGTTTTCTCATCGGAAAATACCAAATTCTTTCGACCCAGCGAAGCAACTCTTTAGAGTCTATTTTCCTTCTGATGCGGTGTAAGTTCTTGCACTTTTTGGAATTTCAATGGCTTTACCCCGAGGTCATTTTTCAGTATTTGCCGAATAGAATAATGCGATATGTTCAGTTCACGAGCCATGTTTCGAAGCGAGTTTCGTTCAAGTCGCTTCTTTACTTTTCAAACCATTTCTGCTGATGTTGCTGTTTTCTTCCGTCCACTTCCTTGACGTCGGGCTACGCTACCAGTATCACGGTAACGAGCGATGGTACGAGACACAAATGATTTATTCACATTTAAATGCTGAAGTGCTCTAACGATAGCCACTTGTCCGTCTATCCATCTGTCGTCTGTGGAAATCACTCTAGCTTCCGAACTAATTGAAGTAGATTGATAAAATTTTACTCAAATGAATATTATGCCTGCAGGACTTTTGATATTGAAAATGGGCCATGTAGGTTCACGATTTGGTATAGCCCACATAAAACGGTACCTCCCGGTATTTTGAGGAGGCTACTACAGCCTAAGACAGAAAATTGTCTGTGTAGGTACACGTCTTCGTATAGTCCCCATATAACAGTACCTCCCGATATTCAGTATTTTGACGATTTTAGCTACATTATTCACCGAATTCTTTATTCAAGCTTCGCATTTGAATATTTTAATGGTTTATGACAAAAGTTGTCTATGCAGATCCACGTCCTAATATAACAGCTACATTCGGTATTTTTAAGATTTTAACAGAATTTTTAACGGATTTTAATGTTTTTGAGAATTGCCAAATTCGTTCCAAATGGTGGAGGGTATTCAAAGTTCGGCCCGGCCGAATATACAGCTTTTTGTACTTGTTCTCAAAATAAATTCGGTATCCCAACAAATAAAAGCTGTTCTACAGGATATCTTCTGATTAAAACTTATACTTTTCAGAATCTCTTCGGATTTATCCACCCGGCTTATGGTCCACAAAATGTTGTACGAAACCTTATCAATTTCGTAATAAAGACGGTAGTATTCTCTCCCTTCAGAAGGGCGATTCGATAATAATTCCCATTTATGCGCTTCATCATGACGAAGAATATTATGCTGAACCATATAAATTTAAACCCGAAAGATTTCTAATTGAAAATGGCGGTGTAAAGCGGTTTAGAGATCATGGAATCTTTTTGGGCTTTGGCGACGGACCTCGTACCTGTTTGGGTGAGTTATAAAAATTTACATTTAAAATTGTATTTCATAAATTGTATTTCATAAAACCTCCGGAGAACTTACAGGTATGCGTTTTGCTTTGATCCAGTGTAAAGCGGCAATTTCGTCCCTGGCGAAGACATTTCACATCAAACTGAATGCAAAAACTCGAAAAGAATTTAAATTGGATCCAAAAAGTTTCCTGGCCCTGCACGCGGGTGGAGTTTGGTTGGACTTTGAGCGACGTTAATTGAATTTTGTTCGAATCTAATCTTTGAATACAAATAATTATAAAATGTTACTAAAAATCGTAATTGACTTAAATTCAAAATTAACCTGTAAATAGTCCTGCAAATAATACACACATATTTCAGCCGTCTTTTGAATCCAGAGCTCCAAATTGTCGCACATACACTAACATAAACTCAAAACATTTTTCCTTGATAGCAAAAATTATGATTATTTTTATACCCCTCACCATTAAATGGATTGTATATTAAAATTGTCATCCCGTTTATAACTCGGGGTAAAGCCATTGAAGGCAAGAACATACACCGCAACAGGAAGAAAATAGACTCAAAAGAGTTAAAGATTTGCTTTGCTTGGCCGAAAGTGGTGAACTGCCAAATTTGGGTTTCTCCCATGAGAAAACATTCTTTGTCCGGCAGTTTGCAAACAAACAAAATGATCGTGTTTACTTGCCAAAGAGGTCAGCTGAAATGTGCACCTCCGGTGGGCCACCAAAACTCAAGCGCCGGCCATGGTGATGGTGTGGGCAGCCATAACAGCCGATTGTCGCTCTCCGCTCATATTAATCGACCGTGGCAGCAGAATAAATGCCGAAGATTATCGCGAAAATATTCTAGAGGGTGTATTAAAGCCTTGGGCAAGCAAATATTTTGGCCGCAAACCTTGGACATTCCTATAGGACTCATCAGCATCGCACTCAGCACGCGACACCCCAGAATGGTTACAAAATGAGGTTCCTCGTTTCATTTCCAGCGCACAATGGCCACAAAATCTCCGGATGCCAATCCGTTGGACTATTGTGTCTGGAGTATTTTGGAAAGCAAGATTGGCACTAAAAAATACCAAAGTGTCGATCACCTCAGGCAAGCGCTTCGCCGGGAATGGACCAAAATGCCGTAGAACAACATTCGGACAGCGTGTGACGGTTTCATTGGCCGTTTGAAGGCCATAATTCGTGCCAAAGGTGACCAATTCGAACAAATCTAAACTTATTCTAAAATTTGATGCTATTTCCGACATTTTTTGCTTTCATTAAATTAAATTTAAAAAAAATCTAAAAATTATGGCGTTTGACTTTGTTTCAAGTTTTTTATCTCACTCTGTATATTCTGGATCAGCATAAAATTCCATGTTGATTAAGCGATGTCCATCCGTCTGTGGAAATCACTCTAGCTTCCGAACGAAATGAATAGATTGATAAAATTTTACTCAAATTTGTATTGATGTCTGCAGGACTTTTGGTATTGAAAATGGGCCATGTACCAGGACCACGTTTTGGTATAGCCCCCATATAACGGTACCTCCCGATATTCGGTATTTTTATGATTTTAGCGATATTATTCACCCGAATTGTTTCAAATTTAGTATTTGAAGTTCGAAGTGAATAATACAGCCTACGACAGAAAATTGTTTGTACAGGTCCACGTCTTCGTATAGCCCCCATACAACAGTACCTCCTGATATTCTGTATTTTGATGATTTTAGCGACATTATTCACCGGAATTGTTTCGTATTTGAAGTTCGTAATGGATACTCAGTCTATGACAGAAAATTGTCTGCAGCCTAAGACAGAAAATGGGCCATGTAGGTCCACGTCTTCGTATAGCCCCCATATAACAGTACCTCCCGATATTCAGTATTTTGATGATTTTAGCAACATTATTCACCGGAATTGTTTCGTATTTGAAGTTCGTAATGGCTACTCAGTCTATGACAGAAAATTTTCTGTGCAGGTTCACCTTTGTGGTATAGCCCCCATATAATGGTACCTCCCTATATTCGGTATTTTGATGATTTAATCTAGATTATTTACCGAATTTTTTTTTTAAGTTTCGCATGTGAATATTGAAGTTCGTAATGGATACTACAGCCTATGACAGAAAATTGGTTGTGCAGGTCCACGTCTTCATATAGCCCCTATATAACGGTACCCCCCGATATTCGGTATTTTGATGATTTTAGCGAAATTATTCACCCGAATTTTTTCAAATTTCGTATTTGAAGTTCGCAATAGATACTCAGCCTATGAAAAAAAATTTTCCCACGTTTGGTATCGCCCCATTTTTTTTTTTTTTTTTGAGGATTTTACATGCATCATTTACCGATTTTTTTTAAATTCAAATTTCGCATTTGAATATTGTAATGGTTTATGACAAAAGTTGCCTATGCAGGTCATCGTCGTCGTATAGATCCTTATATAACGGCTACATCAGGTATTTTTAAGATTTTAACAGAATTTTTAACGGTGTTTGTTTTTTTTTTTTTTTGAAAATTTGCCAATAACCGTCCCGGCCAAACTTACAGCTTTTTCATTTGTTACTTTTCCAAATAAAACTTAAGCATTTATTAATTCAATATATCTTAATAAATTATTTATTTTATTACTACACAAACTAAAAACAACATCAATTGTTTAATGCATTGATTCAGACCTACTGACATTTTAAAACAACAATTGATAACTAAATATTTGAAAAAAAAAACATTGATCGAATATCTCACAAATAGTCGGAGCTATTATTTTCCAATAAAAACGTCAGGTTTTGTTAAACGACAAATATTCAAAATGTTTAAAATCCACACAATCGAGCCCAAATCAAAACATTGTCTTTTTTTTTTTTTTGTTTGTTGCCGACTGAAAACTAACCCAAATGATGATCAGATCAGACATGCATATTTAATTAATAAAACGATTGTGAGTTTATTAACCTATTTTTATTGTTGTTTGTTGGTGTCGTTTTAAATGATATTCAATAAAATTGATTTGTTTTAATTCCGAAAAAAGGGTCAATGTTAAGGCCTACAGCTAAAAGAAAAAGGCAAATAAATCACTTATAGAAATTTGGCGGTTTGTTGAAGGGCAGTTGTAAGTCAGCCAAACTTATTGTCTGACGATTTTTAATATTTTACCCAATAAACCAATATCAATGGCTTGAACAAAAAAAGATTTCGAAAGACAATCAGAACATTTCCAAGGAATACCCTATACCGCATACAGGGTGAGATAAAAAACTGTAACAAAGTCAAACGTCATAATTTTTACATTTTTGTACCCTCCACCATTCATAGTATGGAGGGTATATTCAGTTCGTCATTCCGTTTGTAACTCATCGAAATAATAATTTTAGGCCCACCAAAGTATATATATTCTTGATCAGCGTAAAATTCTAAGACGATTTAGCCCTGTTCGTCCGTCCGTCTGTTGTAATCACACTACAGTCAAAACGAATTAAGATAGGAAGCTAAAATTTTACACAGATCTATATTTTGTCTGCAGGCGGGTCATGTTCGAAGATGGGCTATACCGGCCCACGATGTCGTATAGCCCTCATATAATGGTACCCTCCGATATTCGGTATTTTGATGATTTTAGCCACATTTTTTAAAGGGAGTTGTCTGAAATTCTCCACAAGGAGTTCTTTTTGAGCACTTTACCGCTGAAAGAGAATTGTCTAAATAGGTCTACGATATCGTATAGCCCCCATATCCCCCCGATATATTTAGCCACATTTTTCAACGGAACTGTGTGAAATTCCAAACAAGGAGTTCCTTGTGAGTAATATACCCCCTGAAAGATATTTGTCTATATAGGTCCACAATATCGTATATTACCCAAAATAGCGGCACCTTCCGATATTCGGTATTTTTATGATTTTAACATTTTTTTTCTGAAAATTTCCTTATTCTTTCCAAATGGTGGAAGGTACTCAAAGTTCGGCCCGGCCGAATTTACTGCTTTTTTACTTGTTTTTTTTTTTTAATTTTATAGAATGAAAGCAAAAAATGTCGGAAATAGCATCAAATTTTAGAATAAGCTTAGATTTGTTCGAATTGATCACCTTTGGCACGAATTATGGCTTTCAAACGGGCAATGAAACCGTCACACGCTGCCCGAATGTTGCTCTCCGGTATTTTGGCCCATTTCCGGCGAAGCGTTTACTTGAGGTGATCGACACTTTGGTATTTTTTGGTTCTGAGTTCGGTTGGAATGTCCAAGGTTTGCGGCCAAAATGTTTGCGTGCCCAAGTCTTTAATACATCCTACAGAATATTTTCGCTATAATATTCGGCATTTATACACCATCACCGTGGCCCGGGCTTGAGTTCCAGTGGCCAACTGAAGGTGCACATTTTCAGCTGACCTCTTTGGAAAATAAATACGATCATTTTGCTTGTTTACAAACTGCTGGACAACGAATGTTTTCTCATCGGAGAGAGAGAAAACCAAATTCAGCAGGTCACCACTTTCGGCCAAGCAAAGCTACTTTTTAGCTCTTTTGAGTCTATTTTCTTTCTGTTGCGGTGTAAGTTCTTGCACATTTTGGAAATTTAATGACTTTACCCCGAGCTCATTTTTCAATATTTGCCGAATGGATTATTGCGATATTTTCAGCTCACGAGCCATTTTTCGATCAAGTGATGTTGCTGTTTTCTCCCGTCCACTTCCTTGATGTGGGACTACGCTACTAATATCACGGTAACGAGCGATGGTACGAGACACAAAAGATTTATTCACATTTAAATGCTGGAATGCTCTAACGATAGCCACTTGTGTTTCCCCAGCCAATTATAAAGAAATCACACTATCACGCTTGAGTTCCATCGGGAAAAACTTTTTTTCTGGAAAATTCACACCAAAATGCTTTTGTACGCTTGTAATCAATATAATGAGCTGTCACTGGAATAATTTTAATAGCTATCGGACGAGTGGCTTAGAAATAACTGCAGTCTCACCCTGCAGTGGTAAGGGAATTATGTCTTTGTGCATATGTTTGTAATAGGGAGAAGAAAGCGAAATAGTTACTTTTGAGGATATTCATAGAATCACATTCTGAGTCGATTTATACATGTCATTCCGTCCGTCCGCCCGTCTGAGCATGTATTCTTGTGAACAAAATGCAGGTCGTATTTATTATCCGATTAAGGTGAAATTTTGCAAACAGCATTTGTTTGACCCAAGGACGAACCCTATTGAAGTTGGAGATAATCGGTAAAAAATATAGCTCCCATATATATCTTCGTCCGATTTGCCTTTTATTGGGCACCAAACGTGTAATATCAGCCCTAATAATACATACAAGCAGATTAGGCCTGCTAATAAGTATGCCAAATTCGAAATCGGTTCAGATATAGCTATAGCTCCCATATATATTG